AGGTGTCAATCAGCTGGTTGCGGAAGTCATCCCACGTAGCCATGCTTCTTTCCCTGTTGATGTACCACGTCTGGGCGTTGTCTTTCAGGTAGAAGTACACATTCGCGAGCTTGTCTTCTGGGGTGGCCCACTGGTTGTACTTCGCGCAGCGTTCGAACTGGTCCAGGCAGTCTTGTGCACCTTCATAGGTCTCACCATGAAAGCAGCCAGGAATCATGGGATTCTGAAGTGTCATGTGCGATGTAGCTGCAGTGGCCATGGTGGTTGAAGGAGGCAAGCGATTGCTGGCAGTTTCTGGAAAGGGATTGAGCTCGGAAGCTAGGCCTCGCAGACGGTGGCTGGAACGGTGGACTGGTGTGTCGACGGGTGGTAGTGATTCCGGGCTTGAATGTCGGGTCCGCGAAGGGGTGCCAAGCATGAAGACGTACCCCAGCACCTCCACCAGTGTGACGACGCGAGATTGACGAGCACACAAAGCGCCTCAAACAAATACGATTTATCGATCGCAGGAAACAGACTGCAACGACTTCTTCGTCTTTTGCCCTCGGCCAAAGACACTCGCGCTCCTTCGTTGTCCTCACCACTGGCACATACGCGCGTCAATATTCACAAAATTCAGCGCATGCCCACCAGAAAACTATCAGCATCGTTAAAGGCATCAAGCACAAAAGGCAAGTACGTGCTGTGCGAGGCTGTGCTATTCTCCTGGCAATACATAGCCAAAAATCAGTATAGTGCGCTTCTCAAATGGGACAGGGAAGCAAGGGTACAAAGAAGTGGTCCGAGGACAAGAAGGAAAGAAACTAGGAAGGGACAGTGTACTGAATGACGCAGCTTGCTTAGTGTGGTTTAGCGCCCCAGGGAGTTTGTATGTGCCAAGCACATAGGCACGCTTTCAAGCGAGGGGGGGGGGGATGACGACACCGAAGCTCAGTGGTAGACTATAGAATACGCTATTCGAAAGTCGTACGTTTAGTTCCTGCCGGCGGCAAGTTGTCTTTTGGTCCACCTTTTCTTGTTAAAATTTACGTTACAATTATTTCTAATAGCATCTTCTGCACTTTACTTAGGAACATTGTCCGTTAGTTTTCACTATATTGTGTATAACCAAGAAAAAGGGCCCTTGTATTTACGCTTCTTATTTGAGAGGTTGCTGGAATGGCATAGCATCCAAAGTTTACTATAGCATGGTGGTTACTCCACGTAAAATTGTGCAACACTAGCCACGTGACGTACACGCCACCTAACAGTAGTTACCTTACGTAAAAAAGTAACAACTTTATTACGATTTCAATGCGATAGCAACAAACTAGAAGGTCATGTACCAAATTGCAAGTGGATGGACACGTGCCCTGCGTTTCTCAGGCACAAATGACGCCCAAAACGTGCTCAGAGATACAGATGAACGCGAATAAGCGTCTGAGTTGTTGCTTCGCTGCGTCTTAAAAGCACGGCCTTTCCACAAAGGGAGCATGTACAACAATTGAAGCAACCTTTCTGCGCCCGGTCTCTAAACAAAAACGTTCTAGTGAAAGCCCAACGCTAGCCAAGACGCAAGATTGTCCCTAACGCGAGATAAGGGTGCGTAAGCGAGCGTCTACCTTATCTACCCGGAGGGGCCAAGTGCACATAGGAGATAAAAACCCGTGCCACCACGCGCTCATCGCGCCATCTTGACGGTAGTGCTGAAAACACGATAGTTCACTCCTGAGATGCCCATCACCAGCGGTAGATATGAATACCTTGCCATTTGACCGTTGAAGGACGAGCTTCTCAGTGGCTAACACTCCGCACTCACGTCTCAAGTGTCTCAGGTTGAATTCCGCGCGCCATAGCCTTTTTTTCAGAGTTTTTTTTTGAGTGACGATGACGCCGGCAACAAAATTCAGTGGAGAGTGTTCCCATCGGTTTTAATGTAATAAAACCAAAATAGCAGATCCCACTACAGTGAAAATCCATGATATGCTAAGCACGAATGAGGAAGGCTAATATGTCACATGAAATTCCGCACAACGTTACGAGGCAGACGCAAATTAGGCCGCACATGACTTCCGTGTCATGACTATATCAAGTTTTCGCCTGGCATTTGTGTTCATCGTCCACTCACGTCACGTAATATCAAATTTGGTATATGTGAAGCTAGCGAAACGGCCGCGACAATGTAATGAATGTTACCTACGTAGTCATTTTCTTAGATGACACTTTTATCACGTCTGTACTATCGTATATCTTCGTCATCCATTCACGTCACGTAATACCAAATTTGGTATATGTGGAGCGAGCGAAATGGCCTAAAGTGCACTAGTAGCGTAGCGTGTAGTCATGTTCTCACATGACACTATTGTCATAATTATCATGTTTGCACCGGTCATATACATTGGTGATTCATTCACTTCACGTATTATCAAATTTGGTATATGTGAATCTAGCGAAACGGCCGCAAGTGCTTCATGAGCGTGGCATGTAGTCATGTTTCTACATGACACGCACTTCATGAATATGATGTTTGCGCCAGTCTTATATCTTCCTCATCCATTCGTGTCACGTATTATATGTTTCGTAAATACGAAGCTAGCGGAATGACCAAAAGCGTACCACGAGCGTGCCGTGTAGTTATGATTCTATGACATGCACGTCTTGATTTCCACATCAGGGTCTGTCCCTTATGTTTTGCCATGCAGACATGTCGTTACCACACAAGTTAGCCGTGTGAATGAATCCACCCCAATAGCAGCAAGACCACGACATGTAATCATGACATTCATGAAATTTATGTCATAATTTTAGTGCTATGACTAGTCAGTTATGCTCGTCATACAGTTATGCTATGCCATATATTTGTGTATTGATTCTATATTCGAAACTCCCAGGAGAGCTAGAAGTCAAAGGTGGCTAGATAGATAGATAGATAGATAGATAGATAGATAGATAGATAGATAGATAGAATCAAACTTGCCTAAGTTCGCTAAAAAATGCTTCGCAATTAGAATAGCGGCATATCCACAGAGTGAAAGATGATGAGCGGTGTGAAGCGTCCATCCGTCCAGCCATTCGTTCAGACGCAGGGACGGGCGCAAAAAGGCATGGACGCACGAAGGACACATGGGCGGAAGCACGGACGGACAGTCGGATGTAAGCATGGACAGATGGGCACATGGACGGACAGACAGATGGATGGACACATGGACGTACGAGCGGACGGTAGGACGGAAGCACGGACGAACGCATGGACGGATGAACTGAAGCACAGGTAGACGTGTGGACGGAGAGATAGAAAGACGGATGCTCAGACGGATGGTTGGACGAATGAAAGCACGAATGGATTGACGAAAAGAAGCACAGACGGATGTACGGCTGGCGAACGAACGGACACACGGGCGTATGGACGGACGCTTCTCCCTGATCATTGTCAAGCACTCAACGGTTATGCTGTGAAAACCACTAGCACCACCTAGTTTTTTTTCATTCTCAAGAACCTATACACACAATGTCAACTATTGAGCAACTTATAAACTAGAGGTGGCTACATACTACTACTACTACTACTACTACTATTACTAATAATAATAATAACAATAATACTACTAATAATAATAATACTATAGAGGAGAGAACGATTCATGGCCTAAGGAGCTTCAACCCTAAAGCACATGCAAGGCGCGCGTGACATGATCCAGCCAAAATCTCATAACACTAGTTGGCGGCATGTTCCCGCAAAAATAAATAACACTGGAGGGTCAACTTGTGGGCTAGAAGGTTAAAAATATCCTAAGGTAACAGCGCGAAAGACGATAACAGAGGGAGAACAGAGGAAGCGCTGTTGAGTGTGTGCATATGTTTTCCTCGTCTTTTGTGCTGTTACCTTGACATGCCCAACACTATATGCTCAACAAATCTCCGAAAGAAATACGTTCCACTACTCACGTGGCGTGTTCCTTCCAGACTCGTGTTGTGTCAGCGCCTTGGGAGGACACCTTTTTCCTTGCCAGTCTGAACACTAGCTCCGCCGTCCTTGCATTGTCCTGTGCCACTAATGCGAGTGTGAACACATCTTCCTTATTTTTGCGCGACTAATTGCAAGGCAAGCCCCATGGTCGCGATTCAGGACGTTCGATTTTAAACGTTTTCAGTGTTTCCTTCTCTCGTCATGCTATTTGGCAAACGTGCTGCGAAGCAGCAACCAAAGCTCAAGGCCTCCGTGATTAGCTCTTCAATGCGTGGTCGTGTTGCTGGAGCTTATCGAGGGGTCAACGCTGAGTTTCAAAACGTTCGTTGCAGAGGAGTGGACTTCTTCGCCTCTGTGTACTTCATCCGTTGCTGCTCCGAAGTCGACATTCGTCTATTTTGTTTCCGAGATCGTAGGTAGCTGGCCTTTGTCCAGCGCGCACTGAATCGCTTACGAAAAAGAGGAATTCTTCGATGCCTCATTCAACGATGCATTATTAAGGATGAATTATTACTGCGCAAACAGAAACACCAATAGGACTTGCAGCGTGGCTATGCTACATGAAGTGTAAGTCCATCCGGTGCTGACGCGCTGAAGCCAAGCGGCGCAAGCGCAGGGAGCACGTTACTTCTGCTGTACTGCCAGAGCGACACGCACCAGTGCTGTAGCACATGACGCAAATTATATTGCGCGAGTCATTGCACGCCTGCACCGCTTGGCTGCGATGCGTAGCCGTGACGGATTGACTAGCGCTCCGCGGAGTGCGGTCGTGCTCAGCAGCAAGCTCCTCATACGAGTGGACCTTTAGAGCTGAAGAGAATCATTTGGTGCCAGTTTGTGCGCCGACTCTTCGCCATGACGGCTCAGCCTCCTAAAGTAGCGGGACACATTCTTTAGGAAAGACATTCGACCATTACTTTTTGTGTTGATTATGGAATGCATGCTTTTATAAATATATCTTGAAGCCACCCAGCAAACGAGAAGCAATGAAGTTGTCAAAAGAAGTTAGCGTGATACCACCTTTCAATCATCTTGTTTTGTGTGTTTCATACAGGGTCCGCCGCAGCAGTATGTGGAGTCTCTATTGCCGTGCTTGATATTTTCCTCCCGAGAAAGTTCTCCACTATTCTGGATGTTGACTATGACTTACCATATCGACACGTCGTAGCCCAGGAGTTCACGGACCACAGCGCTGTTGCTCCATCACCAAAGGCACGTACCTTTTTTTTTGGCATCTTAAGAATTCTTTGTCAAATTTATTCGCCATCGTGGTTGACAGGTTACAGCGCACGACTGCAACCCCTGTTTGCTTAAAGTTAGGCGCCCATTAAAGAGCACCAAACGATCTAAATTTATCGAGCGCTCCACTACAGATTGGTCATGATCAATTGTGCTTCTGTGTCGTGAGCTCTAAGCAATTATTTCAGTACTCGTTGAACTTGAAGTGAGCCAAAAAAACCAAACCAAACACGCTGCAGAAGGCGCCCCTTCGATCGCATTATTTTCTGGCAGTGTGGAAGTAGGAATCAGGTGATGTATGCAGCAGTATTTTAAAAATAATAGCCTTTCTAGGAGTACTTCAACGCAAAAATTTGGTCTGTCTGTCTGTCTGTAGAATTGTCTGTTTGTCCAGCGAAACGATACCTCAAACGAACAAAATCCTACCCCATCAGCAGTGCCCACCAATATTGCTCAACTTTCAGCGTTCATGCTTGTGCGATTGTCAATTAAAAGCAATGATTGGGCATATCTGAAGCACGAAAAAACACGTCAATTTTCTGTATGCACGCCTTTATACTAGAAAAGCCATACACAAGTAATTCTAAGCACCATAGCGTTTATCGCGCTGAGCTGACAATGCAACGCTAAGCACAAAAACGCAACTGTTTCCGTTGTTCGAACGCTTTGCTAAGAAGACACTGTGGTGGCACCTGCTCGTCAGTTTGCGTTCTACACTTTATCGCCTCCGATACAGGTGCACACGCCTTTCTTTGTTTTTGAAGCTAACTGCCAGATAGCGCTTGTGTCTCATGTGCCTCGATGTGCTCGTTCGCCTTCGCTACACGAATCAAGACTCTCTAACGCAGCGCCTTAAAAATACCATTCACCAAGTTACTCGCGCAGATCACCAACTAAACGTTTTGTTTACTCTCTCCAAACGCAAGATTATCGTCAGTGAAACAAACAGATACGGGGCTATTTTTTGCGGTAGGAAAGAAACATCGAACAAGTGGCTCATCTGAGAATGTCTCGTTCTTGTCTCACTGGATCCCATGTCTTAACTAAATCTTCTCTTGTATAAACTAATTAAAATTGTGTGCCTTTGGCAAGTACGGTGGTTGTGGCACTCCAGGGTTTGCATTTTTATAGGTGGCGCGTAAACGGCGAGAGGTTCGTTGAATCCGCGGCGGCAAGGTGTGGGGTATGGCGGAGGATGGTAGGGTTAGATACTGAAACGCAGATAGAAACGACAAAATGGCCTTTCCTTGAATGAGGTTTATCTGAGCGAACCAGTGCTCACCAAAGAACTGAAAATGGCGAAAAATTAAGCGGCAAAGAAGCAGTCGACTCAGCGGCATGGGTGTGTCTACATGGTTCAGTAAATGAAGTTGTTGCCACCCTCCCGGTTTTCCAGCAGGTTTTTAGGTTGATAATACAGCTCTAATATGGAAAGGAGAAAACTCTCTCCCAATCAAATTAGGTACCTTGCATGCTACGAAAAAAGAAGAGATGAAAATGTGTTCTTTCGACGTTGATGAAGATGGGTGCTGCCAGATGCCGGAAAGTTAACGCACAAATTAACAAACCAAAAGGCATGGCTTGCCGCATTATTTTCCGTTCTAGAAGGCAACGAGCCGATGCCGAATTGAAAGGGTAGTCCTTACATGAGAGTTCATCATCTGGCATAGTAGGGCTAGGGGCGAACCACGTCACCATTGGGCGCAACCTCATAGAAAAGTTGAGCAAGGCATCGCTGAATTCTGTATGTTAAGAAGTACCGTCGCAAGAGCTTTTCGCTGAGTCCGCGACGTCGAATTGAACTCTGAACCCCTACGACATCTCTCGGTAGATAATCAGCATCTAGTTGTCGTAAGTTGAAGCATTCTTCATCCACTATGTGCTGATTCGTTGTACGCACTCGAGCGAGCTGCCGAGCTTCCGCGCGTTGCAGGTACTCCTGGACGTCCGCGTTGAGGTCGTCGTCTTCTACGTCGTGTGGCATCATCGCGTCAAGCATCGTTGTGGACTGGCGTCCATAGAGCAGCTCGAATGGCGTTATCTTTGTGATTTCTTCAGTAGCAGTGTTGTACAGGAACTGCACCCAAGCCTACGTCAAAGGCGTCTGTATGCTTTTCTTTTTGGGCCTGCTCGTTGAAATGTGCGAGTACAGGCGGGCCCTGCAGATAATTTCGAAGTTCACAAAGCGCCTTTTGTTGCGTTTCACCCCAGATGAATTGAACATTGTCATTCGCCAAGCGCGTGAGTGGTTTTTCGTTTTTTGAGAAGTTTTTGACAAAGCACTGGTATTACGCTTAAAGTCCGAGGAGTCTTCGCACCCCTTTCTTGTCCTTCGGCCTCGGAAAGTTGGCAATCGCTGTAGTTTTCGTGTGGTTAAGCAGGACTACCTAGGTGATGGCGACGTGGCCCAGAAACTTCAGTTGCTCATAGGCGAAGTGGCACTTTTCTGGTTTCAGCGTTAATCCTGACATACTACGGTTTGCTTCGAGCACAGACTGTAACCTCTCGAGGTGTTCGTCGAAGTTCCGGGAAAATAGGGCGAAATCATCAAGGTAAACAAAGCAGGTGTGCCATTTTAGGCCAGCCATTATGAAATCCATGTGAATTCGGGGATTACCAAGCAGGAGTTACCTCAGTGAACGAGAGATTTATCAAGTGCAAGGGCAAACTGGATGCAAGCCTGCGATCACAGCGCCCATCTTTTTTCTTGCAGAGGCCAAAGGACATAACGGTGACTTCATTTAGTCCATCCGGTGTTACAAAGGCTGTCTTCGGGCTGTCATACTCTGCCATTGGCCCCTGCCAGTAGCTGGAGCGCAAATATAACGATCAAATGAACTCTGCTTCTTGTAGGCAGTCCAAAGCACCATCGATGCTAGGCAGAGGGTCTACTTCTTTGTGCGTTATCTTGTTGAGGCGGGGGTAGTCAACGCAAAACCAGATGAATTCGTCTTTTTTCTTCACAAGAACTACCAGTGAAGCTCAGGTGCAGTTTGAGGGCTCAATGATGCCACGTTTCAACGGGTTGTCCAATTGTTCATCAATAACAAGGCATTCAGCAGATGACGCACGGTGCGGACGCTGTCCTAGCGGGGCTTGTTGACTGGTGTTAATACTTTGAACGACCATGGAGGTTCGGATAAATAAGCCTGACTGGTCACAATCGAGAGAAGAGCGAAAACAGAAAAGAAGAAGTTTGATCTCTTGACACCAAGTTGGTGCAAGCTCGGATTCGTTGGCATCCGAGAAAACGTCCAGAACATCATTTGTCGCGTTGGTAGGGGGGACAGCACAAATTGGGAGCGAAACCATAGAATCGGGTATAGCACGTAGCTAGAAGAACGAACTCGTACAGTCGGCAGCTTCCCAGGCATTCTCCCTGAAATAGGCATGACGGGCTATTCGAGGAATCGCTCACATAAATGGCAGCGTGACCGTTGCGGAGAAGGATGACGGCAAACGGAAGCATGAGTGACCGATTGCATAAACAACACAGGCGATTTCAGAGGAGAGGCATACGAAACCGGGACAACAACAGCTGAGAAAGACGCTATGTCAACGTCAGAAGCAGCAAACCTTCTACACGAAGCGCCATGATCAAAGTCATAGCATGACTCAGATAACGCGAGTTCTGAACGAGCATAGTCGACCAAAGCAAAATTTGACGAAAGTCCCACCAAAGGATAACACCATGCGAAGAACGAAATAAAACTACAAATGAAACGACGTACACTGCTCTTTGAATGACGACTCGCACAGTGAACAAAGCTGGAAGCTGAATATGGTTGGACGTAGCCATTACCAAAGATAAATTACACGATTATAAACTCTTCCTGCACATACAGAAACATGATCTTATAGACATGGCACATGCAACATCAAGACATTATCCACTACGTAATACACAGACACTAATACCAAGAACACGTACGAACTACGGAAGGTCAGCCCTCACTTATCAGATACCTGCACTAATAAATCGTGTATCTTCACAAATAAATTTTGATATGCCATTCCATAGATTTAAAAAGTAAATAAGACTTTTCCTATTAAATGACTGTGCAGCCGTTACGTCATAACCTCATTAACTGTCACTGCACCACTGTTCTTGCATTGCATTTTTATACGTTAAAACGTTTGCATTTTCGGTATGTGCAGTTATCCTAGTTATATGGGTGCATTTTATTTCTGATGCATTTCCCTGTTACATTCATTTCGCTGTATCTGTGCATTTTTGTTGTACCTCCTTATATTTACTTTGCTATGTACCGATGCTATTATATCTTGTCAAGTTGTATAAGTTGTATCATGTCGTGTTAGTTATACTTTTTATTCGCTGCTGCCTGTATGGTCTCCCAGGTCCCATCAAGCTGTTTTGCAACAGCTTTTTTGCCTGGGGAACACCCAACATTTTGTGTTGGAAATAAACCGAAATCATGCAATCAAATCATAGGTCGGTAAGTTGAGTGGTCACTTTCTGCAAGTTTCAGCAGAGTTTCTAGCAAATACAGATACGGCAGCTTGAGTGTCAACAAGTCCGTACACCTTGATGTCATAAATATAGAGTTCGATTTCGTTCGGGAGACAGCCGTTAGGTTTTAAAATTTTCGCTGCCAACGCAGTTCTTGCCTCCGGAACTGCGCCCGTCAGTTTTTCCCTTCCGGTGGGCTGCTGTGACGTAGCATAGGAAAAATTGTTCGGCGACGAAGAGAAGGCGAACGACTTGAGCTATATGGTCGGTGACCGGTACATACGTCTGGAGGTCGATTGGCAGAAACGGAATATCATGGCTGACTAGGCATCTAATGTGAGGCTCCTGCAATGTCACGAGAAGGGAAGCTGCGACGGCGGCAGTGACGAGCTATGTGGCCCGTGATGCCACATGAAAAACATATTGGTCGATTATCCGGCGTGTGCCTTTGACTGAAGGGGGGGGGGGCACTGTTCACTTAATAAGGTACCGTAAACTGTCT